ATGAAGGGCTCCTTCACATGAGCATTGCTCTCTATAAAGCGATCTGTGTTTGGCTAGCTTTCAGAGCATCGCATCTCTTCCTCACCACCTGTTTTAACCCCTTGATCACCACAATAGCACACTATGTGCACTGCACATGATTGTAGGGTACTGCCTGTGAACACCATATTGGGAGAATTTGGCCACGCTGCATTACAAATCATGGAGACCGCAGCACTGGGATAATACCATAGAGCCTTGGCAGTGCAAATCAGCCAATTTCACTTGCGTTTGGCAGGTGCTATACCTACTGAAAGCAACAGGGAGTAGAATTCCTACTGTGAATGCAAAGGAAAGCATCAGGACCTCCTACTCTCTAGCTCCCTGGTCTCCTCCTCCCATGCCCGACTCCAGGACTTCTCCAGGTCTTCCCCCATCCTCTGGAACTCACTACCCCAATCCATCAGACTGTCACCTACCCTCCTCACCTTTAGGCGCACCCTGAAAACCCATCTCTTCAGGGAAGCCTACCCCACCCTTACCGAACAGCCAATCTCCTCCACTTGTCCTATCACTCCATCCCCCACAGCCATTTCCTACTGTACCACTATCCCCTCCCTCCTAGATTGTAAGCTCCAAGGAGCAGAGCCCTTGACCCCCTCATGTATTGTATGGTTACTGTATTGTCTCATGTACTGTCTCCCACTATAATGTACAGCGCCTTTTGGCGCTATATAAATACTGTATAATAATAATAATAATAATAACTCCTGGCTGAAGTCTCTGCATCTAAAATGGGTAGTGCTTGGCGGATGGTAAAAGCAGAGCTCAATCATGAGTTTTACTGCCCTTCAACTACTACTGTGAACGAGCCCTAAAGGAAAAAGTTCACACATATAAATAAAAAAAAAACGCTCCCCCTAAACTGCAAAAGCTCTATGGCATTATACCAATGCTGCAGCCTCCACGATTTGTACTAAAGCATGGCTAACTTTCCCCAATGTGGTGATCACAGACAGTACTACCAGCCGAATGTGACCCATCGAAGTGAATGGGACCACATCACAATGCACAAGCTTACAGCAAATGCTTTTAGAGGAAAAACAGGCATTTAGTGACAACATAACACCACTTCTCTGCCTGTCAAATGATCCATCATGGATCACTCTTCAGAGGGTGATGTATGTGTAAACATGTCCTCATAAATAGACCTCTAAGTGTTTGCTCTGAAAAGGCCAAACCTGCACCAGTCATCTAATTGGGTGATTGCAGTGTGCCGTTTGCTATTCTGCTACCAAAATCCTGCAGCTACTGGACAGGCAAACACAGAAAAATTAAAAACACTACATGATTTGCAGGTGTGAAAGTGACGACGTTTCACTTAGCTTAGCTGGTGCCTCTGTGACTGAAGATGACAATTTATTTGCTGTGTCGCGAGGTACACTATCAAAGGTTATAACGGCATATACAGTTTCCGGGAAAATGTCGCCTGATGAGCATAAGCGCGATCAACTGATCAAAAGACAAAAAGGACATTTCGCAGGATTGTGACCCGGAATAAAAAAACTGCTGTAAAAATGACTGCAGAGCTCTATCTCAGTCTGCACAGGACTGAGATTGAGCTCTGCAGTCAGTTTTCCAGCAGTTTTCTTATTCCGGGTCACAATCCTGCGAAATGTCCTCTTTCGGCCAGCTGACCATTTCGAACGTGACTATGTGGTCAGGCTGCAGAGCTCAAACTCAGTCCAGCTTTCAATGCAAAACATGTTGTCACTTACACACCTGCAAATCATGTAGGGTTTCCATTTTTTCATCTAAGCCCTGTATTTACTTTTATAATTTGTGTTTTGTAACTGCTGCATGTTTCTGACCTGCTTTCCCTTACAATTTCAAGGTAAGTAAGAACTGAAATCCAAATATAACTTCCCCTTCTCTGCCGGAAAACAGAATGTGACTTTCAGACTACAATGTTAATACGGTTCCGCTTGACTGGCTGAACTTCATAATCGCATTAGGTTCCTGCCAAGAAGCTTCCCCTACTTCTGATTATTAGAGATCTCAGCCGGACACAACGAGCTGTAACTCAGAATGAGGAAATGTGTGGCTGCTTGCACAACCGTCACATGGAGGGGCCCACTCATCACAATGCAATCTGACCTTTTACCTACAAGGAAAACTGGCGAAATCAAGGGAACTGGGAAGAATCACAGAGTGGCTGGTGACTGTGCAATACCCATTAAAAAAAATTCTAAGAATAAAAGATGTTGCAATTAGTGGTGCACCGAAATTAAAATTCTAGTGCCGAAACCGAAAATCAAAACGCCCAGGTTTTTAAAAATTAAATATATATTTTTTGTCAAAAAATACATTCATTAAAAAAAACCCCACAATATATACCCCAATTTATTTGTAAAATATGAAAGAGGATGTTTCAGCGAGTAAATAGATACCCAACATACCACGCTTTAAAATTGTGCACGCTCGTGGAATGGCATGAAATTCCGGTGCTTAAAAAATCTCCATGGGTGATGCTTTAAAAATTTCTACAGGTTAGTAATAGAAGTAAAATGGTGATATAGTGAGCGCTCTTAATGTATAGCAGCTGAAACACTCAAGGTAACCACAGTAACCTTTGAAATAGCATTAAACATAAAGTGCAGTGCTTAATAAATAGATCAATAAATAAATAACAGGATATGAGTTCATGCGAACAGTAAATAAAGTTCAATAGATGGCACATGTGATGGTTTCCTATGAGGCAGATATCTCGATGAACTTGTGACTGGAATCAAATGGAAGAAATGCGCACTCACCGGAAGTGCATGGAAAATGCGCATATAAGTATGAAACCACTAGGTAATGATCTGTGATGGACAGGATGGTGGGCTTCCTTCTAGGTACTGGTCATCAAGCTTGGGTTAGTATGAGAATCTGCTGGGTCCAGAGGTCCCCTTAAAGATAGATGGGCGCTCAGCCTGGACACAGGGCTCCCTCCTCTGAATACTGGATATCATAGGAACTCTCTTAAATGAAGAACTTTTAAAAAGTTGGAAACCACTTAACAACCAGCACCTTGCTCTGAATATGCTCAGTTGCTCTTTATTTTTAGGCACAGTGACAAAAATGCTCTACATTTTTTTTTTTTTTTTTTTTTTTTTACACACTGTTCGCATGAACTCATATCCTGTTATGTATTTATTTATTGATTTATTTATTTATTAAGCGCTGCACTTTATTATGTTTATAGATTAGTAATATAAGGTTACAGAGGAGGTCTAGTGTGAGAATTATTGCTCCTGCTCTGACGTTCGTGGCGATACCTCACGTGTGTGGTTTGAACACCATTTGCATATGTGGGCATGGCCTACGTATGCATTTACTACGTACGAGCACGGGGGGGGACGGGGACACTTTAAACTTTTTAAGGGTGGAACATGTAACATGTTCCCAAAGCCCATCGCCCCCCCCCCCCCTCTGACAGACAGTACGTGGAGAAGTTTTCCCGTACTAGCTGTCAAATTTGAAAGTAGCGCAGCCACGTGGGGCTCCGCCCACACAGCCGTGTCACTCATTCACAGAATTCTGTGAATGAGTGCCTACAAGTCCCCGCAGTCTTAGCGGCTGTCGGCTTGTGTTTTTTTAAACAAACTAGCACGGCGCTGTGGTAGTTCATTGAAGCTTCCTGTCAGAATATCTGCTTGACCCTACATCTCGTACAGCAAACAGATATTCTGACAGATCTGCAGGAGACCTGCATGGCTCCATCTACCGATCACTGGTGTAATGCTTTCCAGGCTCCTGCAGACAAAAATAATAAATGCACATTTTTTTTTACCCGCAAAAAAATGTGCATTTATAATTTTTGTCAAAGAGGTGAACTTATCCTTTAAAGTATAACTAAAGGCAAAAATTTTTTTTTTTTTTAGTTTTGGATAGAGAGAAATGGTTTAGAACACCTAGTAGGTTTTTATTGCTGTCTGTGCCCCCATTGGGGAGATTTGTGGTCGTTCACTGAAAAATTCAAGCCAACAGCCACTAAGGCTGTTAGGACTTGCAGTTTATTCATTCACTGACGTTCGTAAATGAACGAAGTGGCCGTGCGGGTGGTGCCCTGCACAGCTGTGCTGTTTCTCTGTCAGAGGGAGGGGGAGCGGTGGCCGGCAGCTACGGCTATGAGAACGTTACATGTTCCACCCTAAAAACTGGTGGAACATGTAACATGTTCCCAAAGGTGAACTTCTCCTTTAACCCCTTGGCGCCGGCGCCTCCCAGCCCTTTAAGGGTTCCAGAAGCCGGGAGGCGGGGTGGGGTTTTAGGGTCATGTGACCGCCATGATTCGCCGTCACGGTCACATGATCCGGAAAGGTCCCGATCGTAAGAGGAGAGCAGGACATTTCCGGGAGTACTGGACATGTGTGCTCGGAATTCGACCCATGTATGGCCTGTTATAGTCTCCCAAAAAGAGAAAACAGGTGGTGCAAACACCTAATGCATTATCCAAGTTTGAAATCCAGTATGGTCCCTGCAGTCTGAGGAAAGGGATTTGTCCCCGAAATGCGTCAGCAAGCCGACCACATTGACAGTCGGAACACCCTGCCCATTGTTGTGGCCATCTCCATTATCATACTAAGCTTTACACACACATGCCATGTCTGTGAGTATGTTTTCATCTTTTCTACTGTTCAATAAACCTTGAATAATGCACTAGGTGTTTGCGCCACCTGTTTGCTCTCTTTCCAGTTGTTGATTTCCCCATCTGAGGAGGCCTGCATCCCTGACACACTATCCATAGGCCACCTTTTGCCCTGGTTCCCCTGGCCTTCCTTTGGCTATTGACTCCTGGAGCGCTGAAGAGGGGAACAGACAGAATCTGAAGCAGCTGTGCACAACAACCAATCAGCTTCTAGTTTGCATTTTCAAAGCTTACCAAACAAGCTGAAGAGAGAAGCGGATTGGTCGCCATGCAGAGCTGCTCCAGTTTTGATCAATTACCTTGTAATAAAAGAAGTATAGACTCCAGAGAGAGATATCATTTCCCCCGGTACAAATCATTAGTAAGACCTCATCTGGAATATGCAGTTCAGTTTTGGGCACCAATTCACAAAAAGAACATTGGGGAACTGGAGAAAGTACAGAGAAGGGCAACTAAACTGATAAGAGGCATGGAGGAGCTCAGCTATGAGGAAAGATTAGAGGAACTGAATTTATTCTCTCTTCAGAAGAGGAGATTAAGGGGGGATATGATCTCCAGGTAGGGGAATACATAAGGGGGGGATATGATCTCCACGTAGAATACATAAGGGGGCGGATATGATCTCCACGTAGAATACATAAGGGGGGGGATATGATCTCCACGTAGAATACATAAGGGGGCGGATATGATCTCCACGTAGAATACATAAAGGGGGATATGATCTCCACGTAGAATACATAAAGGGGGATATGATCTCCACGTAGAATACATAAAGGGGGATATGATCTCCACGTAGGGGGATATACATAATACATAAGGGGGATATATGATCTCCACGTATAATACATACGGGGGATATGATCTCCACGTATAATACATACGGGGGATATGATCTCCACGTATAATACATACGGGGGATATGATCTCCACGTATAATACATACGGGGGATATGATCTCCACGTATAATACATACGGGGGATATGATCTCCACGTATAATACATACGGGGGATATGATCTCCACGTATAATAACATACGGGGGATATGATCTCCACGTATAATACATACGGGGGATATGATCTCCACGTATAATACATAAGGGGGATATGATCTCCACGTGGAATACATACGGGGGATATGATCACCATGTATAATATCATAAGGGGGGATATGATCACCATGTATAATACATAAGGGGGGGATATGATCTCCATGTAATAATACATAAGGGGGGATATGATCTCCATGTATAATACATAAGGGGGGATATGATCTCCATGTATAATACATAAGGGGGGATATGATCTCCATGTATAATACATAAGGGGGGATATGATCTCCATGTATAATACATAAGGGGGGATATGATCTCCATGTATAATACATAAGGGGGGATATGATCTCCACGTATAATACATAAGGGGGGATATGATCTCCATGTATAATACATAAGGGGGGGGGGGATATGATCTCCATGTAGAATACATAAGGGGGGGGGGGGATATGATCTCCATGTAGAATACATAAGGGGGGGGGGGGGTAGATATGATCTCCATGTAGAATACATAAGGGGGGGGGATATGATCTCCATGTAGAATATGTATAAAGGGGGGGGGGATATGATCTCCATGTAGAATACATAAGGGGGGGGGGGGATATGATCTCCATGTAGAATACATAAGGGGGGGGGATATGATCTCCATGTAGAATACATAAGGGGGGGGGATATGATCTCCATGTAGAATACATAAGGGGGGGGATATGATCTCCATGTATAATACATAAGGGGGGATATGATCTCCATGTATAATACATAAGGGGGGATATGATCTCCATGTATAATACATAAGGAGGGATATGATCTCCATGTATAATACATAAGGGGGGATATGATCTCCATGTATAATACATAAGGGGGGATATGATCTCCATGTATAATACATAAGGGGGGATATGATCTCCATGTATAATACATAAGGGGGGAAATGATCTCCATGTATAATACATAAGGGGGAATGATCTCCATGTATAAATACATCAGTGGTTCATATAGTGAACTCGGTGTAGAGCTATTCACCCTGAGGTCATCACAGAGGACAAGGGGACACTCTTTACGTCTGGAGGAAAAGAAATGTAATCTCCAAACACGGAAAGGTTTCTTCCCAGTGAGAGCTGTGAAAATGTGGAATAGACTCCCTCAAGAGTTGGTTCTGGCCAGCTCAGTGGATTGATTTTAAAAAGTCCTGGATTATGTCTTAGATACACAGAATACAAATGGATACTAACATTTATAGGTAAAGTTGATCCAGGGAATATCCGATTGACTCTCGGGGGATCGAGAAGGAATTTTTTCCCCCTGCAGGAGCAAATTGGATCATGCTTTGCTGGGTTCTTTGCCTTCCTCTGGATCAACTGTGGGTATAGGATTATAATTTTTTTTTTTATGGTTGAACTGGGTGGACATTTGTCTTTTTCCAGCCAGACTAACTATGTAACCCCCCGTGGTGATTGTGGAAATGTGTGGTTATGGTGTACCTTGTGGGGGATATGAAGGGAATGCAGAGAAGAAGCACCAGGAACACCTCCGCATAGAGGAAGGTCGCTACAGCCGTCCATTGAAGACTCATTTTCCTCTGATTAGAACCTGCAAAAAAAAAAAAAAACAATCAAAAGTGAAACAGGTGGGCAGCAGCTACTGAGCCATTCAATACAACAACCACAAAAGCCATTGTTATTCTACAGCCCTGACATGCAAAGAGACAACTGGAGCAGAGGAGGGGGAAATACATAGACAGATCGATTTGTCTTGCAAATGAGATCCCCGCTCTGTGTCATCACACAATATTGGCTTTCTTTCGGCACTATTTCCTAATCTTGGTAGCTTCAATGGAGGGCAGGTGAGACATCGGGGTCTATTACAGTACCAATAAAGAGAACCTGCATGTGCAGCTCAATTGGCGTGCCATGCAATGCTGAGGGCAGGCAGGTCGGTGTGTTTTATTGCAGAATCGGCATTGCACATCTCTTCTGAAATAAAAAGCCAGCCTTCTGCAGTGAATGCCACTTATCTGAAGATCTGACATTTATTGTACAACTGATAATAGAAATGTATGCAAATAGCTGCCATAAATGCAACTTGTATGCTAAAGCAAACATTTATTTTTGTAAGCAAAGATGGCAAAAAAAAAAGACTTCCAGGAGTTTTAACTGTTCCCTACCCTATCCGAAAAAAAAAAGTTCTGGCTTTTGAAATACTTTTAGGCTAGGTTCACATACGTGCTGGTGGTGTGGCTGAGGATCCACACGAAAATCCGTGCAGCCACACCACCCACACAGAGGAATGCGGACCCACAGGCGGGTGCCATTAGATCTATTGTCACGCTGCCCGCACAGGAAAAGTCAACTGTACTGGGAACGGAGGTTCCCGTGCGGGCTGCGTTTTCAGAAGAAGTGCAGGGACTTCTTCCCTTTGTGTCACAGGGTACAGGAGTCCATTCAAATGAATGGGCTCTCGTGCCCGCGCAAAACGCGGCCCGCAGGAATGCAGATATGTGAACCGGGGTTAAGGTGTTCAGGGTTTTTTTGGAAGCCAGGATTAAAAACTAGTTTGGCATTGTAACTATCCACATGACACATGGGTGTGTGGTGAGTCAGGAGATTACTAATCAGCATGCACTTGTTGCAGCAGCCGAGATTCTCAGGACTGGAACTGCACTCAGCAATAAGAGCAATAGGCTCACAGTTGCAGTGTGGCCCCCGTATTGATCTCAATGGGAAGGTTTGACAGCGGTGCCGCCCGTTTAACTCTGCAGCATGACTTAAACATGCCATGGCCACAAAGGAATGCTTACCCCCCCCCCCTTTAAGAATTCAGTTTACCATTTATATTTTTGGGAGGGGGATTTTTGATGGAAAAGGAAAGTACTTACAGGTGGGACTTTGCACTCTCTTGACTCCTCCATGTGCTACACAACTGACTCCTGTAGTTTTGTTCTGTACTCCTCACCCCCTGCACATGGTGCATTACATACTCCTTCACCGGGTAAAGCTGACAGGGGAGAGCCTTGTGTGTAAACAATACAGATCTCTCCCCTGTCAGCAAGGACATGCTGCTTTGTATCTCTCTGCACAGCATGTCTCCCTAGTAAAAACACACACAGCACACAGTTACCCCTTTGATCGCCCCTCATGTTAACCCCTTCCTGCCCAGTGCCATTAGTACAGTGTCAGAGCTTTTTATTAGCACTGATCACTGTATTGGTGTCACTGGGGATGTCAGTGGCAGTTAGTCACCGATCGCCACCATTACTAGTATAAAAAAAAAAATGTTTAATCCCAGTATACATATCGCCATTTGAAAATGCTATAACTTTCACGTAAACCAATTAATTTACACATATTGGGAATTTTCTGTAGCAAAGACATGTCGCAGAAAACATTTTGGCATAAATTTATGACGAAATTTGATTTTTTTAATGGACGTTTAATAGCAAAAAGTCAAAAACAATGTTTGTTTTTTTTTCAAAATTGTTGGTCTTTTTTTGTTTATAGTGCAAAAAATAAAAACCACACGGGCGATCGAATACCACCGAAAATAAGCTTCATTTGTGGGGGGGGGGGGAACGTAAATTTAATTTGGGTGCAATGTTGCATGACCGCGCAATTTTCACTTAAAGTAACGCAGTGCCTTAACACAGAAAATGGCCTGGTCAGGAGGAGGGGGGGGATCCTCTGGAGGGCGAGGGGTTAATAACATATGTAACAGAAGAGTTTCATTTTCTAGAATCCATTGTGCGGTTTGTAGGTGTCGGTCAGTCGCCTCTCACTGGTGACACAGCAATCAGAGCCTATGTAATGGGTATAAGGGGGCTCAGACGAGAATTGATCATGCACCCCTTTGAACCCCTCCCACTGTCGCTGCAATTTGGCCACAACCACCTCTCGGCATGCCGCATACTGTCCCCCCAGGTCTATTACAATTCTAGCGACACCCCCCCACACACACCCCTAAACACAGGAAGTGACAAGGACACTACATTTCTGGCAGGATCAACAGGGGAAAAAAAGAAAAAAAAAAAAGCAGCCACCACATCTAAAGACTGGTAAGCTGAAACGTTTTACATTCCAGTTGTGGGGTTTATGTATCTCAAGTCTCCAGTAAACATGGACACACAACTCCTGGCTGTCAGAGCATGCTGGGACTTGTAGTCCTGTGACACAGACACCTTGATCCTGCTGGACAGGCCGAGCACAAACACCAACACCGCCGGCGACAAACAACGTGGAAGCCCCAGAGAGCCCATCATAGTCACCTGCCGCCAATCCAACAGATCTGTCACTGCACACTGGACTCTGATTACTCACACCCTTCCACTTCCGGCTTCCGGTCCGCTGGCCTCCGCCGCCACACCGAGGCGTGGAACGCAGATTGAAGAAACTTTATTGCGCAGCGGGCAGCGCTGAGTGTGCTAAACCCACGTGGTCACAAAGCAGCCTAGTATTGATCTGCGGGACATGTGACAGGCAGACTGTACACTGGGGTGACGTAATCTGTACACCATCTGTGATGTCTGGTGCAGACCTGACTTTAACCCTTCACTGCCACAGCCAAATCTACTACCCAATCAGACACCCTGCAGAATAAAATAGCGGTTGCTTCCATTTGTTTTTGGTCCCCCAATATTAGCGCAATGATTCAGGAAACGCAACATTTCAGTAGAAAAAAAAAATAGGACAAAAGTGAATTTTAGGGCACAAAAATGCAATATATTTATTACCTTTTCTTCTTTTTTTTTTTTTTTTTTTTAAACAAAAAAGTGAATTTTGGAGCATGTGAAAGCAATAAATTAATGAATATTTTCAGTAAAAAAAATTGCATTAAGTGAATTTTAGGGCACACAAAATGCAATATATTTATTACCCTTTTTTTTTAAAACGAACTAAAGTGAATTTTAGGGTATGTAAAAGCAATAAATTATTGAATATTTTCAGTAAAAAAAATTGCACTAAAGTGAATTTTAGGGCACAAAAATGCAATATATTTATTACCTTTTTATTCTTTTTCTTTTTTTTTAAACAAAAACTAAAGTGAATTTTGGGGTATGTAAAAGCAATAAATTATTGAATATTTTAAGTAAAAAAAAATGCACTAAAATGAACTTTAGGGAGAAAAAATGCAATATATTTATTACCCTTTTTTTTTTTTTTAAACAAAAACTAAAGTGAATTTTGGGGTATGTAAAAGCAATAAATAATGAATATTTTCAGTAAAAAAAAATTTGCACTAAAAAATGAACTTTAGGGAACAAAAATGCAATATATTTATTACCCTTTTTTTAAACACGAACTAAAGTGAATTTGGGAGCATGTAAAAGCAATAAATTATTGAATATTTTCAGTAAAAAAGAAAAATTGCACTAAAGTGAATTTTAGGGCACAAAAATGCAATATATTTATTACCTTTTTATTCTTTTTCTTTTTTTTAAACAAAAAACTAAAGTGAATTTTTTGGGTATGTAAAAGCAATAAATTAATGAATATTTTCAGTAAAAAAAAAATGCACTAAAATGAACTATAGGGAACAAAAATGCAATATATTTATTACCCTTTTTTTTAAAACAAGAACTAAAGTGAATTTTGGGGCATGTAAAAGCAATAAATTAATGAATATTTTCAGTAAAAAAAAATTGCACTAAAGTGAATTTTAGGGCACAACAATGCAATATATTTATTACCTTTATATTCTTTTTCTTCTTTTTTTAAACAAAAACTAAAGTGAATTTTGTGGTATGTAAAAGCAATAAATTAATGAATATTTTCAGTAAAAAAAAATGCACTAAAATGAACTTTAGGAAACAAAAATGCAATATATTTATTACCCTTTTTTTTTAAAACAAGAACTAAAGTGAATTTTGGGGCATGTAAAAGCAATAAATTATTAAATATTTTCAGTAAAAAAAATTGCACTAAAGTGAATTTTAGGGCACAAAAATGCAATATATTTATTACCTTTTTATTCTTTTTCTTTTTTTAAAAGAAAAACTAAAGTGAATTTTGTGGTATGTAAAAGCAATAAATTAATGAATATTTTCAGTAAAAAAAATTGCACTAAAATGAACTTTAGGGAACAAAAAATGCAATATATTTATTACCCTTTTTGTTTTTAAACAAGAACTAAAATGAATTTGAGAGCATGTAAAAGCAATAAGTTATTGAATATTTTCAGTAAAAAAGAAAAAATTGCACTAAAGTGAATTTTAGGGCACAAAAACACAATATATTACCTTTTTTCTTTGCTATGGTATAAAAGATGAGGTTGCGCCGAGCAAATAGATGCTCAACATGTCAAGCTTTAAAATGGTGCCACTTCGGCACCCTCACATATTCTATAGGCGAAGATTTAACCCTTTCGCTGCCAGAGCCATTTTTGTTGGATGTTGCGTGCATGTTTAAAAAAAAATAATAATAATAATAATTTTAGGCCTGAAGATCTTCTAACTTCCTTCCCTTCCCTCAAAATGTTATATATTTTTCTGAAATCAGACAACCTAGAGAATAAAATAGTCACACGATATTAGAGCAATAGTTTACAAAACGCAAAATTTCTGTAGAAAATACACTAAAGTGAATTTGACGGCACAAAAATGCAATGTGTTACCCTTTTTTTTTTGCTACAATGTAAAAGATGAGATTGCGTCGAGTAAGTAGATACCCAACATGTCAAACTTTAAAAGTGTGCCTGTGAAAATGGGAATGAAAAAAATAATTAAAAAAGGAAAATGGCACAAAAGTAAAGAAAAAAAATATAATGAAAAGAAATTTGCAAATGAAAAATTAAAAATGAATAAAAAATAAAATTGATGAAGGGAAAAAAAGTAAAAAAAAAATGAAAAAAATTAAGATAGAAGAAGGAGAGCGTGCTAGAGAAGTAATGAAAAATGTAAATGGGATGCATGTGACAAAAAAAAAGAGAAAATTTGTGAAATAATTGCTATGAAAACAATTATTATTTATAAAATGGGAAATGAAAAAAAAAGAAATAAAAAAGAAAAATGGCACAAAAGTAAAGAAAAAAAAATATAATGAAAAGAAACTTGTGCATGAAAACTAAAAAAAAATGAAAATGAATACAAAATAAAATTGATGAAGGGAAAAAAGTAAAAAAAAATAAAAAAAAATGAAGAGATAAGAATGAGAATATTCTAGGGAAGTAATGAAAAATATACATGGGATCAGGGGCGGACTGACAACTCATTGGGCCCCCGGGCAATAGGGGATCATGGGGCCCCTGTGTCCTTGCCCAAACTCAAAAAAGCCTATGAAAAAGATACCAGGGTCATCTCATGGGGCCCCCTACTGACCTCGGGCAGTGCCTGAGTTTCCAAATGGTCAGTCCACCCCTGCATGGGATGCATGTGACAACAAGAGAGGAAAATGTTGAAATAGTTGATATGAAAAGAATATGTATTTATTTATTTATCTTTGAATATCAATCATTTTACAATTTCATCTTTTTTTGTCACACGAATCCTATTTACATTTTTAATTATTTCTCTAGCACATGCACATTCTTATCTCTTAATTTTTCATTTTTTTTTTTTACCTATTTACTTTTTCTTTCCCCATCAATTTTATTTTATTTTAATTAATTTTCAATTTTTTTTTCATTCACAATTTTCTTTTAATTATATTTTTTTTCTTTATTGTTGTGCCATTTTTCTTTTGTATTTTTTTTTTCATTCCCTGTTTTATATACATTCTAATTCTTTGTTTCATTCTCTTATCCTAATTTTTTTTCTTAAGTTCTCATGTTTCCTTTATTATTTTTTTTTTTCATTCCCCCTTTTTATACTCAATCTTCTTTAATTATTTTTTTCTTTTGGTTTTATTCATTTTTATCTTTCATTCACAATTCTCTTTTCATTATATTTTTTGTGCCATTTTTCTTTTTTATTTACTATTTATCTTTATTTTTAAATTCCGTTTTATACTTATTCTTATTCTTTATTTGTTTCTCTGTTGATCGCTTTTCAGAGAGTGGCATTGAGGAGGTGACACTGCTGCTTTTTCTTTTTTATTTGACAGCCAGAAGAGTTTTGTAAATGGGAGTAACAGTGAGCCTACGTTGGTAGTGCCTGCTATAAGAAACAGGGGGGTTAAGTTCTGCAGCGTCCGTGAAGCGCAATGTGTACACCCTGGCCATTGCTTTTATAGCTCAAGGGGAAGCTGTTGGTTAGGGAGGTAAAACTGAGGCTCAACCGCTTATTTTTACCACTGCCCACCCAACCGCAAGCATAAAGGAGTCCTTACCGCAGGACGAACGTTGGTCTCTTGACCATAAGGATTCCAACTGAGGCATTCACTCAGGTCATTAGTAACCTGCGGACAGCTTGGTCTTCATCTCGCCCAGGGGCGGACTGACCATTTGGAAACTTGGGCACTGCTCGGGGGCCCGGGGTCAGTAGGGGGCCCCATGAGATGCCCCTGGTACCTTTTTCATAGGCTCTTTTGAGTTTGGGAAAGGACACAGGGGCCCCATGATCCCCTATTGCCCGGGGGCCCCATGAGTTGTCAGTCCGCCCCTGATCTCACCATTGAGATTGTTTCTGATCACCTTTAGATTCCAAGATCCAAGAGTTCCATTCAGCCACCAGGTGGAGCTCTGATATATGACAAGCAGAGGTAACAAAGGAGTATCCTGTGGTTGAGGAACATAGAGGTTTCCATACTTCCACTCTGCTTGAGATGCCAAGTTAAAGGGTAACTCCACTTTCATGGGAAGAAAAAAATATCAAATTAAAAAAAACATATAAAAGGCTACACAATTCAGATTTCAATTGAATGTTATTAAAAAAAAATTCCCTTTCCTTTCCAATCTGCAGCACTGTAATTTTCTGTAAAATGCAACATGGCTGCTTGGATGGGGTTCTGTAGACAGGTGGTGTACAGAGCGCCCCCCAGATGTCATTTCCTGCTTGTGTGATTGGTTCACTGATTTTCCCAGAAGCCCGCACTAAGATACAAGTCAGATTTCTGCGCATCCCCTGCAACAAAAATGTCATTTTCGGTGAGATACTCTCAAAGGGAAAATAAATCACGTCTAAAGAGATGCAGACCCTGCCACTTTCCTCATTAGAGACCTGGAGGTGCAGCAGCTGATTGATAATTATACAACCACTCCCATACAGATGCACTCTGCACATGGACACAGACAAACAGCTGTGGCCTCTTTCACACGCGTGTTCCATGTGTCCGTATTATTTATCTTTCCGTTTACGGCTGAAACACAGACACCCTTGTATTTCTATGGACTAACGGGTGTAAACGGA